GTGCCACTTGAACAGATGGAGAAAGTGTGGCAAGAACATTGGTTTTGGAAGAGAATAGTGACTGAAACGAGTGATAAAGAACATAAACGTGAGATATCGATATGATACTTGAAGGAAGTTCTAAATCAAATGTTCTACAGATGTTAGCTTAAAACTTTGTCTAAATATCATTACCTTGACTATAAAGCAATACAATGGTTCAGTTTGAAAAATTAGATTATAATAACTAAAACAGTTTTCTCCACTTTTAAAGTATACTTCTTACTTGACAGAAAAGTGCTGGCAAGTGACATGAATTGAAAGATCACGTTCAAACATGAAAGTATCAAAAGTTGATAGAATCAAGGTGGTTTTACAATCCTCACTATTTTTTCCTTGAGAGTAGCTTATGGCATAAATGATTATTACTTGATATAAGCTTAAATAAGAGATCTACTCTGCTTGTATTTGCAGTGATCTATCTTAATCGGTATATAGGGTGGAAAACTAAGAATAAATTCCAATGTGATGGAGACGTGTTCATCCACATTCATTTCAAGCACTTTTTCTATACTTCATGTACTATCTAAATCAAAAAAGTGACAGAAACGTGTTGTAAGTCACTTTTCTTATTACTTGGGCGGACAACATTAAAACTGTAGTATGAAACTCGTGCAAACATTGTTAAAATTGTAAGCAATCATTCAATCATTGTTAATTGAAATATCAGACGCAAGAATAATATTACAATACGAGCACATTTAAGCACTATTAATTCTCCTCAGTCAACAAAATTTGAATTCATTTGTTGGGAGATACTCATTTCTTGAATAGTATCAGTCTCAGGGTAGCACGGTAAAAACTTCAACGTCTTTCATTGCAGGGCTCCTTACTGAGTATTTAAATGTCCAACCATGGCAGGCACCAGCATGCTCCCCCTTTTTATTGAGGGCAACAACTGCTCCCAGAAAATCTGGAAATTTTTTCGCTATTCGTGCTATTGCATCTTTGGCAGCAAGTTTGGGATCCATTCCCAACCTCATACTTTCCACAACTTGATAGCTGAAATTGAATAGAAGTATTCATCTAGATATTCAGAATTGAAAACACATAAGAATATTTAATTGAAGTGTAACTATACTGTAGTAAGAATGCTTGAAAGTTGAAATTACCAAGGTAAAGAATATGTTTTTTACAGGTCAATGCACTAGAAAAATAAGTTTAATACGCTAGTTGCAAAAAAATTATCATTTAGCTATTAACCAAGAACATTACATGATGGACCAGTTGTGCTCACCCCCAAATAGAAGTTGCGTACCAAAATTAATAAGCAATAGATATGCAATGAAAATAAGACACCATCAAACTGTCTGTGTGTATGCCAATATGCATAACCTCTGAAGAGAATCTAACAAAAAGTAACTCAGTATGTAAAATAGAGAAACTAGAGACTTTCTGTGCTACCAAGGAAGGAAGCGCATCATGATGTCACCATCCCCAGTTGCACAACATGCACCAACTTCCTCTACAGCATATGCAGAGGATCCAGCTATGGGACCATCACCTACCCTGTAATCAAAGAAATACATATAAAAAAAACTTAATTATAAAAATCAACGATAGAACAGACTAAGGGTGATCAATTTCTGCTGCATTAAATAAGTGTGAAGTTCATATCCAAAGAGGATATGTATTTGGAATTGACAGAAGCACTTTCCCCAAATGAAAAACACTCTCTTAGAGTGATATGAATAAAGACAAGACAGTCTAATTTCTAAAGCCATTCCTTCTCGAGTTACGTATATAGCAGTCATGAAAATTAATGGGAATTGGTCATAATCAGAATGAAAAGGACTAAAAACCAATTTCATGTGACTTTAAATAAATCAAGATAATTTAGCTTGAAAACGAAGAAAAGTTTGGCAATTCAAGAAACAAAAAGACCATCAGTCCACTTGTAATACTGGCACACAGAAGGTTACCTCCCAGGAATCTTGAATGTTGCCCCATTCGTTGATGTGCCAACGGCAATGTGTCCCATCTGTGCCAAATAGAACTTGTCATTTGCATACATAAAGTGATGTCAAAAGTTCAATTTTATGCTAAACCTTACTCTATCAATAACAGCCATTGATATAGTATCATGGCTATGAAGACCAACACGAGGTAATCCAGAATTACTAGTCAGAATATGACCAGTACTGGAGCATGTTTCACCAGGATGCTGCAGGTAATGTGTTGGACTATAAGGACCACAACTATTTGCAGGTGACACATTTTTCCTGAAATTTGGTTGACATCGACCATCTTTCCATTTGGTCCACTTCTCCATGGATTCTGGTGAACTCAAGTTTGTAGGTCCAGGAAGACCCATTGAAATAGCAAATTCTGATGCTTTCTCTCCTACTAGCAAAGTATGTTCAGTATGTCGCATCACTAACTTGGCAGCCTTGATTCCATCAGTTACGTATCTCATGGCTGCAACAGCTCCTACTTCCATTGTCAACTGTGTGTCCCCTTAGCAGAAGATGGGTCAAAAAATCATGCCAGATCAAGAAAACGCAATATGCATGACACAAAATAATTAGCAGATCAAGAACATGGTAATTCGTAGCTACCCCGTCCATGATCAGAGCATCAATTGTAGTTTCTCCATTCTCATCTGGACTTCCACCTGGACCAACTGTTCAGAATAGGATATTCAAAAGGCATGCACAGCAGTAGATATCATGAAGACATGAAGGGAAAAGTCAAAATGGAATCTCAAGATGGTCAAGGACTATAAACAGAAAGAACAAATGCAGAACCAAAAATCTGTCTGATTCTTTCATTTAGGGGTAACAACACATAATTTTTCAAAACTCTTCCCTTCCCACGAAAAAGCATAACGTCAAGTAAATGTTATTTTGTGAACCTTGGTCTTTCTAACGGCTCACATGGCGGTTTATGCAGTGTAGGAGGGATTAAAATAAAAAAAAAAATTATATTTGAGAAAACATAAAGACAAATAAAATAAGTATATTGCAGGACTAGTAGCATGTTTAAGCCTATGACTTTGTGAGCCTAGGGTTAGTATCAATCCAATAAGCACTAGATAAGAATGGAAGAAGCTCTTAGCAAAAATCAACTATCAAATACTTCAAAATCACAACACGGAGAGGTAAGTTCACACCCAATCTACGGTTTCCATTGAAGCAATAGGCAAAATAGGTTCAAATATTTCATATTGAAACGTCCTTATTATGTTCCAAACATTCACGTTCCAACCTGTTCCATCACACCTCAGTTCCTCACATGTAGAGCATCCTTCAACCACGGAATCCACAGCCGAAGAGCCACCATCAACAGCCTTCCATGCAGCTCTGACAGCCTCAACGAAGGGCCACGTGCTCACAACCAAAGGGTACTCTTCCGATTGCACGGTTTCATGTCCCACCACCTGATTACAAACAACACCCATCATATCAAAACTTGGCTAAAGTGGAAAAAGTTAAGACTTTTAGGATTGGGAACTCAAAATTACTTCTACTCTGATTAGAGAAATGATTTGAGAGTACCACAGAGAATAGAGGGAGAAGGAAGATAATGACGAAGGACTTTGCAGGCATGGAGATGGATTGGTGATGGAGGTTGTACCACTGTTCTCCGAGGTCTCTGAAACGCATTACGAGCAACCCAATTTGGAGATTTTGATTGGGATAAGAGAACGCTTTTCAAGACATTCAAGACATTGTTGTTGGAACTATTGCAGAAAATTAATATACAGATCAAATGGAAACGATATATTAGAATATAATTTGATTTGAAGATAAGGAATAAGATAAGATATTCTATCGATTCAAAGAGTAAAAACACATCATCAGATTCGATTATCAATGACTAAGAGAAATATCTTCAACCTGGTTTTCTGGTTTAACAACTACACTTCTCCCGACGTTGAAAAAACGGGGATTATGTGGTATGGTTATTGCAAGTTTCCTCAAACGCGAAGCTAGATTGACAACAATGAAAGTGATCAATTTGAGTTATTGAGTTGACTCTAATCAGAATTGATGTGATCATTTTGAAGTGATAAATTAAATATATATATATATATATATATATATATATATATATATATATATCAATCTGGATTGAATTATTGAATTTTAATCTTTTGGCTTATCACATGTTATGTTGATAACGGTTGATTTTACTGTTTGAGAGTAAATTTTTATTTGTTCTTTTGTTTTTAGTTTATTTTTATGAATTAAGAGAGTTGAAGTTATAGTTGAAGATTTTATCACTAAATTTCTTTGATTTTGTAGAAAATTGGGATGAATTGGAAGAGGAGTTAAATGTCAACAAGTTGGAACTCAGAAAGGACAGAAAGACCATCAGAAGAGAAGGTTGCTAAAGGTCGTAGAATGCTTGAGCACCCTCTCATGGGGCCCTCAGTGCAGGAGCCTTGTAGTCACGCTTGGGCGCCCTCTTTGGGACGCTGAGCGCCAACTTATATGTAATGTCTCACACCTGGGTGCCCTAAGTGGGGCGCTGAGCGGTGTCAACGTTGGCCCATGATCCAATTCAGCTTATTTAAGGATTTGATTGACCTAAAGAGAGTATATTTTGACAGACTTAACACAAATTCATATTTTCTTCAATTCTATGTAGGCAGAAGTGGATGTGGAAGCTCTCCTCTTTAGTTTTTAGGGTTTTTTATCCTTTTCATTCCATTGTTCATCAAGTTTCTCCATGACGATGGGGAACTAAACCTTATTTGTTGTTGGGGGATGATGTAACCTTGTGAACTCTCATGTATTTGAATTTATTCCAATATTTTTATGCTTCTTTCATTAATTGTTAGGGTTATTCTTCTTTGCTCAATGATTGTTATGTTTAACTCATTCATGGCATGATTATTGGTTTTCGTGATATAGACACATACAGGGAAACCTAGATCTGGAGAATTTTCTCCCAAAAGCAATATTGCCTAGACATAGGGATATGAGTTTTGGTTATCTTAAGCTTATAAGCGTAATGCAGAATTAATTGCTAGTGATACAAGACATTGTGATCTAGTAATTAAAGATATGCTTTCTTCGCCGAGACATCGGGTTTTAAGTAATTTAGAAAGTGATATTAACATTAATGAAGAAGATGAATTCATATGTGCATGAGAGGAAACTCGGTGAAATCTAAACTCCCAACAACATATTCATCCCATATTCAATATCATTCATTCACCTTTGTGTTTTTCTTTCAATTGGTCAAAAGTGCATTCATATTTACTTTCATGTTTTGCATTCAAAATTACAAATTGTTCTTCAAAAGTCGTAATTAGTTAAGTAATTACATAATTGTCTAGTGCCGTGAGTCTCTTGGGAAACAATACTTGGTCTTACCATTTATTATTACTTGATACGATTCGGTACACTTACCGACATCTTAACACTTGTACACAAAACATATTCTAATACACCTCACTAAGCCAAAAACTAGATTGCTTTAGTAACCCCAATCAGCTTCCTGAGGCTTTTAAATCTCTCAAATTTGAGAGCTTTAGTTAGAATGTCATCTAGTTGCATTTCTAATCTACAGTGGCACAACTCCAGCTTTTCATCCTTCACCTGCTCATATATAGTGGAACTTTGTTTCTATATGCTTGCTTCTTCCATGAGAAGCCAGGTGCTTGGCCAAATCTATTGCAGATTTGTTATCAATACACAATTGTATCTTTTCCGTTAGTTCTATCTTCAACCCCTCCATCACAGATTTCAGCCACATAGCCTGACACGTTGCCTCACAAGCTGGAATATATTCTGCTTCACAAGATCTTAAAGCCACCACCGGTTCCTTGGTTGATAAAGGAGAGTCTCCAAGGAAGAACAAGTACCCTCTTGTGCTTTTCCTATCACTCTTATCTTCACACCAGTCTGCATCAGAATAGGCCTTTATTCTCACTTCCATACCTCATTTTCTTCTTGGAAACATAATGTCATAGTCGTGTGTGCCCTATATGTATCTTAGAATGCGTTTCACAACATTCAAGTGTGATATTCTAGGATTTTGCATGTACCTGCTCACAAGACCAAGACTAAAACTCACATATGGCCTTGTATTGCACAAGTATCTTAAACTTCCTATCATGCTACGATAGAAGGTAACATCAACAACCTCCTCTTCTGGATTAATTTCCAATCTTAAACCCACTTATGTAGGTGTATTTGCAGTATTGCAATTCTGCATTTCATCCTTCTTCAACATCTCTTTAGCATAGCGTGATTGATGCATCACTCTCCCTTTCTCGGTTTCCACAAATTCTATGCCAAGGAAGTGATTTAGTTTGCCTAAATCACTCATTTCAAACTCATTCAACATATGAAGTTTCAAATTCTGAATCACCTTCTCATTGCTTCCGGTAATTACCATGTCATCTACATATAGACATACAATTAATCTTTCAACTCTCCCTTCTCTCTTGTTGTTCTGCATATAGACACGATGTTCTGAAATACATCTCTCAAAACCAATGTTGTCCATGAACTTATCAATCTTCCGCTTCCAAGCTCTCGGGGCCTGCTTTAGCCCATACAGGGCTTTCCTCAATCTGTAAACCAATCCCTACTCTGCTTTAACTTCAAATCCAAGGGGTCACACCACATACACTTCTTCTTCTAATCTTCCATTCAGAAAAGCTGACTTCATATCCAATTGATGTAATGACCAACCAAACTGATTTGCAAGAGCCATCACAAGTCTCACCGTTTCCATCCTAGCCACAAGTGCAAAGACCTCACCATAGTTTATTCCAGCCTTTTGCAAAAATTCTTTTGCATCCAGTTTTGCCTTATATCTCACAACTTCTCCTTGTGGATTTACTTTAGTTTTGTAAACCCATTTCAAACTAGTCGGACTTTTATCAGTAAGCAGCTCAGTCAACTCCCAAGTATGATTTTTCTCTATGGAGTCAATCTACTCCTGCATAGCTTTCACCCACTTATCATCTATTGTTGCTTGCTCAAATGTCAGGGGTTCAACTTCAGCAACAAGAGCATAATGGACCAGGTTTCCCTCTGAACTTACTACAACATCATAGAACAAATCATAGTCCTTCAAATGTGAAGGAAATTTTGACGTTCTAGATTATCTCCTCTTATTTCTTTCTTGCTCAGGAGACTTCCCTTCCACTGGATCACATTCATCTCTTGTAGTCTCATCCTCCAACTGAAGAGTTATACTCTTTCTCTCCATAGACTTCCAATCCCACACTCTTTCCTCATCAACTATCACATCTCTACTGACCGTAGCTTGTCCAGTTTCTGGATTGTACAGCTTATATCCACCAGTTGGATGATAGCCAACCAAAATTCGTGGCACTCTTTTATCATCCAGTTTTCTCCTTAACTAGTCTGGCACATGCTTGAAGCAGACAAAGCAAATACTCTCAAATGCTCCACATTTGGCTTGATTTTACTCCAAGCTTCCTCTGGGGTAATATTCTTCAATCTTTTAGTGGGCGTTTTGTTCAAAATATATGTTGTAGTCAACACTGCTTCCCCCCATAAAAACTGTGGCAACTCCTTACTCTTCAACATGCACCTTACCATATTCATTATGGTGTGGTTCTTCCTTTCTGCCATGCCATTATGTTCTGGTGTGTAAGGAGGAGTAAGCTCATGCATTATTCCTTTCTTCTCACAATAGGTCTTGAATTCTGCTAACATGTACTCACCCCCTCCATCCGTTCTTAAAACTTTTAGCTTCTTGTCACTCTGCCTTTCAACCAAGGTTTTAAACCTTTTAAACACCTCTAGGACTTCACTTTTCCTTTTGATCAGATAAACCCATGCTTTTCTACTCCAATCATCAATGAAAAGCACAAAGTACCTACTACCTCTTGGAGTTTCAGTTTGTATGGATCCACATACATCTGAGTATACAATCTCCAATCTTTTTGAGGTCCTTTGAGGCACAAAACTTTGACATTTCCCTCTAGTTTGCTTGTAGTGAACACATTCATGAAATACAGATTCTAGAATGTTAACCAAAGGAAAACATAGAGTTTTTGCTCAGCTAACACAAATCCCTGAAATTTAGGTGCCCAAAACGTAGATGCCATAGCCACTTTGTTGACTTTCCTGCTGCATTAAAACATTGATGCTTCACAGCCTTCATTATCACACGAAAGGTTCTGTTTTGAGACAAACTCACCTTGATAACCATTATTTTGCTTTGGTCAAATATACTAAGATGGTTATTCTCCATCTTCAT